GAGCAAAGGGTGCTGAACGCTACTCAAGATGTTCTTTCTCAACAAATTCCGATCAATGACGAAACACTATCTATGGGGTTCATAGATTTGGGTTTGGATTCGCTGAACATGGTCGAGTTCGTGAGCCGTTTGAACCAAAAATACTTCCCGGGAATGAATATATCTACAGCAGATATCTTCGACTATCCTACAATTGCGCAACTGGCTGCATATATCAAGAAAAACGACCGACAGTCTGTTTCAGAAAGGCATTTCTTCAATCCTTCGTCAAACGGAGAAAAGACCAGTATGGCAAGGGATCATTTCCACGACTGTAGTGCCTATGTTGAGGTTTTCGAAGACTCTGATGTCCATGCGGATGTTTTGCTAACATCTTGGAACGCAAGTGTCCTTTCTGTCATTAATCTTCATAATGGCTCCAAATTGCAGTTCGATTCTACTCAGTCACCTGCTCTCGATTTCTCTCGGATCATAGCAAATGGAGCCATTGTCAAGTTCCACTCTGAAGCTACGATACAGCCAAAGTCACTGTTTTCTTCATTGCTCTGCTTCGCGCATCAGGTTTGCTCCACGGGTCTTGAACTACGTGTATGTGTATCGAACTCACCAACACTTGCAAATGCTCTTGCTCGCAGTTTCTTCAAAACATTAGCAGCGGAAAAATACCCGAAAATTCAGTACATCTACACCGAACGTTTGCTGAAATTGAACTTGTCATTTGATGAACCTGTTCAAACATCGGAGGGAATTGGCTCATAACGGGAGGGCTTTCCGGCATTGGATTGACCATAGCAAAATGGCTTGTGCATGAATGTTCAGCCGAGAACATAGTTCTGATTAGTCGACGCGTTCCGGATAAGGATCTCGCCACGCAGCTCGATGAGCTTCGTCAAAGAACAAATGTGGTAGTAATCAGCGCAAGTGTTGCAGACCTCAAGAGACTGCAAAGAGAATTTACAAGCATTCCCTTCAAGATCAATGGCGTTATTCACAGCGCCGGAGTTGTTCGTGATGGTGTCATGGAGCGGCAGACTTCAGAGACCTTCTCTGACGTTTTCACACCTAAAGGAGACGGATATCATGCTATAGACAGGATATATGATACACTAGGCTTATTGCCCATCTCAGATCGGCACCATTATTTGGACCACTGTATTGTGATGTCGTCTTTCACAGTCATTAATCTCAGGCAGACTGATTGGCCCCACTAAACTATGGGGCTTCCAATCACCTAACCTTGATAATAGCAACTGTATCAGGGACCACGATTCATTGGGGAAACTGGTTGGATACAGGCATGGCACGAAGAGTACAAAGAACATTGACTAACAACGGTTTTCTGGGACTTACGAATGAAGAAGCTCTGAAATACCTAGGATACGCAATACTTCACAAACCTTATGAGCTGACAGTCGCAAAACTCGGACTGGAAGACAGTATTGAAGAAACGTCCAGATATCAGACAAGATATCGTGATGGATGCGCCGGATGGGGCAAACACAGGCATAGACCTCTACGAGGGTTTTGGAGATCACTTAGGATATAATGAGCTAGGAAAATCTCATTTCTTAAGGAAAGAGCATGACCATAGCGTCCTCCAACAGGACACTACTCAACAAAAAGGCGAGCCCCTTCTACCTGGTAAGGTCAGAAGGAAGATTTCGGAAGATTATCCTGCTTCCAATGCAGTGACAGTTGAAAAAGCTGGACCGACTAGCGCGATATGCAATGTGTTCGGCCTCAACGTGTTCTTTCGACGACGAAGACGACTTTCGTGAGTCTGTCGCTCGGCACATGGAAGCCTTATCACCAAGGCCTTCGTTATCGCTGCCCTTGCAGGTCCTCCAAACCTTACGTCTTGCATGCGATGGGTAAATCTCTCGCAGACGTGGGAGCCCAACTGAAAGGCCTCGTCTATGAACCACGTAGGAGCAAGCCTCGTGGAAAGAGCGTAATGTTGTTTACAGGACAAGGTTCCCAATATCCATTCATGGGTAAGCAGTTAAGCACAATGTTCCCAGTTTTTCGAAAAGAATTTGAAAGATGCCTCCGTTTAGCGGACACCCACAGACGGGAGAATATTAGCCTCATGGAGATTCTCGATAGTCCTGACAACGCTTTGCTTCTACAGTCAACAAGTGTTACGCAACCATTGATGTTCGCATTCGGCTATGCTTGCGCCATGCTGTGGCAGTCTTTTGGTTTCCAACCGGACTATTACTTGGGCCATAGTGTAGGAGAGCTGGTTGCTGGAGTAATGGCCGGAATCATGACTCTTGAAGAAGGAATTCTCATTGTAGTGGAACGAGGAGTCGCTTTGGAGAGGATTGC